CCTTTCATGGCTAGATGTGATAAAATTAAGTACCTTGAGATAAAGAAATTATCCTAAATTATCCTAGTGGAGCTAATCTAATGAGTCTTTTAAAGCAGAGAATAGTTCCCAGCTTGTAAACCAGCCTGTCCAGCTTTCTTCCTTCAGTCAAAGAGAGAAGTGATAAGTGAAGAAAGGTCATCAGGATGTTAAGTTGCTGACTTTGAAGATAGAGGAAGGGGGTCACAAGCCAAAGAATGCAGGCAGCTTCTGTAAGCTGGAAAAGACAAGGATGCAGATTCTCCCCTAGAGCCTCCAAAAAAGGACCCACGCCCTGACAACCTCTTGATTTTAGCCCAAAGAGACCTGTGCCAGCCTTCTGATCTATCATTTTAAGTCACTAAATTTATTTCTAAAGATGAATTTAAATACTTTTTTAAAGATAGCAATAGAAAACTACTACATTCCCCAAGTATATGAACCTTTTGTGGACTACGAGGAGTCTTTGTAACTGTGCCCTTCAACACTTTGACACATACAGAATATTCAGAAAGTCTTTAAAGATTGAATGGACTGGGATATTCTTCTTCCTCATTTTTCAGGTTGGAGGATAATCCTGTAATCTGTCAGCATCACTACCAAGTTTTTATTCCATCCTAAATATAATTCCTTTCTCCATTCAGATAGACACTTTGCCGCCTCCTCCTTTATTATGTTTATTTAGCCAATCCATCTTTATGATATGAGTTCTATGAATTCTAGTCATCTGGAAATTGATATTGTCAATTAGTACTACAAAAGAAAATAAATATAAAATACACATTTCGAAAACATAAAAATATAAAACCACTGATTCTCTCAGAAAACAGTGAATTAAGGGAGATAAGAATTACTCAGGTATATTTATAAAGTGTTATATTACCATTTTAACAATATTTTACCTTCCATCTTCTGTCTTTAGTGATTGACTGATTCATCCATTCATTCGGTATTTATTACCTATAATATATTAGGCATTCTGAAAATTTTAAGTTAAGTCACTTAATCACAGGTTAATTAACTCAATTTCTTGCTTAGAGATTATTTGTGAATCTCTTGTTTTTAATGACTATACTATTCTTTTAACCTATGAACACTTAGATGCCTTTCTTAATTTACTTATAATTCTATTCAAATAGAATAGAAATGTTTTTCCTTATAAAACATTTCTTTAAAGAATTCAGAATGGAGCCCTGAATGTATAAATGAGCACTGGATTGAATCCCTATCATACTAAGTCAGACTTCATATATGCCCCATGACCACATAGTAGGCACTGAACACAGAGATAAAAAGATAGTCCAGAGGAGGAGGAAAAAGAAGAAAAGAAGAGACATATTATCCTTCCTTTTATCAGGAACTTCCAAATCTCAATCCACTTAGCCCACTTTTCAACTAAGGCTTTTGTGACACTGGATATGTGGTGAATGAAAATTAAGGATAAAATTTATTTTGGAATGTTTGCCTGCTTAGATAAACAAGTACTCAAAATAAAGGTATCATAGAGAAAAATCAGAAACCTGCATAATTTGTACAATATTTAGCTTTTAGAAGCCTTGGGGACACAATCCTAAAGAATGGAAAACAAAGTTGTGTTTCTAGGTATAGTAGACATTAATAGCGGTCTATATTTCTATATAAATTTTCAGAAACAGAAAAATGAGGTCATTAATGTCCTTGGCACTAGTGATAGGTCATTCAAAGCTAAGGTAAATGATACTTGGGGTCTTCCAGCTTATTGCTATACCTCTTTTATATTCATGAATAAGACAGTTACTAAAAAAAATAGCTAGACTTGGAATCATAGATTTTCTTATGCTTTTGTATTATATAATGATTTGAAGCCATCTCTTCATGAGAAAAGTTGCCAAAAGTTGAAGATGAAATGATTAAATAAACAACCAGATTGGATTGTACTAAGAAATCTAACATGATTCACGTTTTAATCAATAGGTCAAACTGACATTTGAAAAATGTAATTTTCAGTTTTTGTTTTGGTTTAAAAAAGAGAGAGAGAAAGAGACAGTCAGGATTTCTAGGGTGTAAATGTGTTCTCAATAACATCATGGTTGATCATCCTAAAGTTCTGATTGCCAGAGAGAGCTTTTTCTTGATTTTTAGCAGAGCCTAAACTAGTATCTAAGAATAAACCTGAATACTGCACTGACCTTTTCAAAGCAGAAGCATTTGAAACAGATATCCACCCAATGCAAACTATAATCATTTAAAGGTGCAGTCTCCTAGCAAACAAGGAAAAACCTAAAATCACAGTTCTCTCTTCTAAATGATATGGTATATGTGACCAGGTCTATCTATTTAAAATTTTTTGAACATATAACTGGGCCCTATTTAATTTTTTTGTCTTTTTTTCCTGATCTGCTATCTTTTCTTTCTTGCTCAAGTCCTTTGCTACCTGAAAATTATGTTTTGAAAACTGTATTTCGGTTAATCATCACCAAAATGAATCTCCACATGTCAGCCTTTTTCTAATAATTTACTCTTCATGGTCCATCAGTAAGTTGTAAAAATGAAATGACTGTTTTCACTGTGTTGTCATCTCCCTCCTAACCCCCCTCCAAGAAAAATGAACAAAAAATACTTACAATGGTTCTTAGCCAGGAGCATTTTATCCCTTATTCACTAGTGGTAAATGAGTCAGATATGAGTTGGCCAGGAAAAGAACTGCTTTACCCAAAATCTTAGTACAAAATGAGTCATCTCACTCCAAACACCAATATATCCTCCAAAATAACTGGCAAGAATTTCCTATAAAAAGAATCTTGCCTTCACTCTTTTCCATCCATTTAGCTTTCTGATTTTTCTAATTTTTAAATTTCCTGTGTACTTATAATATTACATTCATAACAAAGGCCCAAGAACATGTCCACCTCTTTATCTCATTCTGAAAGTCTTTCCTGTATTGAGTAGGGGGACAATTCTAATAGCATGCCCCTGAAAAGAATAAGTGTTCATGGCTTTCAAGGGTTCTCTGTCTCTGACTCTGATGAAATTCATGCATGGTTCAACAGAAATGCAAAAGTCAATTCTAGAAGAATTTTTCTTTTCCTGTGCTGAAAAAGTACAAACCCATAGAATGTATTTCAAGCAAAAGCATTTTTCCATAAAAAAATCAACCAAAATAGATACAATGTGTCCAATACTGATAAACAAACATGAATCCAGGTCACAAGCTTCAACTCTGTCTCCCTATACACCAGAACATTCCCATTCTATCTCTGCCATCAGAGGAAGCTTAAAAGTCACTGTGAACTTAAAAAAAAAATAAAAATCACTGTGAACTGAAGCCAGGGTTAAGTCCCTGTAGATTATCAGAAGTCAAACACTCTATTATTTACCTGAGGATAAGCAAGCATGCTTATAAAGCCAATTCCTGCCAAAGTGCTGAGACTTTTATACCACTTGGGGTATATAACAAGACTTATTATTCTTAATTATCCTAAGTAAAATTATTTACAATTCGTTTCACTCAGGTTGGAATTTAGCTTCATTTCTCTATATTAAATGAGTTCTAAAGAGTAGATATATTTCTTTTATATCCAGCACCAACATATGTTAGTTTCCTCCGTTTTATAGCCCTCAGATGACAGACAACTAACCGCATTTGGCCTTGGGAATAACTGCAACACCTTTAGATTATGAACTTGGTTTGATTCTTAACTGGGAATGGCAGGGGGTTAGTTTCTATTATCAAGAAAGTAAAATAAGTTTTCCCTTATGCTCCAGATGCCCATATGAAGATGTTTTTCTAATACAATATTGTATAACTATTTTTTTTCTACAGGTAATCTGGTCTTTAAGCGGTTACAGTAAGAAAAAATACTTGCATAAAAATGACATCTCTTATTCAATGCATCTCCTGCTTTTGAAAACAAGATGTTAAATCCATTAAACTTTGACTATCCAGTAAAAGCAAGAAATCTAAAACTGTCCAAATTTGTACATTCTTGGGAAAATTGCCAACTAGGTACTAGGTAGCAGGATCTGTGTAATTAATAGTGATGTTATTGATGGAGGGGAATATGATTGCCTTCTCATAAGCAATTTAAAAGTACAAGCTGGCAGAGCTTTAGTAAAGCCTCACCTGATTCATTTTTAAATTGAGAAAATGTGACTTTGAAGCCAGCCACAGAAAGCACCAGTGTTAATAAATGTACATTTATGATGGTTTTGGTTGTAGCAGACTTTAAAAAAATCCCGAAAGTAACAATGTCTGTATGATAGGATGATGAACACCAAAATGCACAAACTGACAAACATTTCTTAGAAGGAGAACAAGCAAACCCGATCTTAAGTTAACCTTATTTTTTTTCCCTGAAAGCTATATTCATATGAAGACTAACTGGAATCAACTTCTTATCATAAAGTAGAATAAAATCAGACTCAGGAGTTCACACATTCCTTTATACACACTCTTGTCTTCTTTGGAGGCAACTCCTATCTTTATCCAATCCTTGTACCACAAGGACAGTCATAGAAGGAGTTTGGATGTATTTAGGTTTTCCAACTGACTTGTAATACTTCCAGCTTCCCCTCTCCTTTTTTTCACTTTGTTATATCAGTAATTTTGAAATGATGATAGAATGAAAAAGAATATCTGGAAAAATACAGATAACTAAGGAAAGAAGTGAAGCTCACAAGTAGCTCTTTCTATAATAATCTGCACTTAAATTATCCAATGAGGAGTGATTTCTCACCATGTATCTCATCCACTCTAATTCTCTGTGAACTGCAACTACAGGTTCTAGCTCTATCTTTCCCATGAAGAATGAAACAAATGAATTCTTGGTGGCTTACTGAATTTGCTGTGGCATCTGTGACTTTGAAGAAGACAGGTGGTGGAAGTGGAGGAGACAGGTGAAGGAAAGCCTGGGGGCGGGGGGGGGGGTGGTGGTGGTTCACAAATGCTAATGATGAGCCTGGATGTTACTGACCTTAATGACTCCCCCATGTTGCATCCATACCTGCTATCTTCTGAAGCAAAGGGCTGTTCTACATCTACTGTCAGGGAGGCCAGGGCAGAAACGGTCTCGGTCTCCTCCTGCAACTGAGTCCCAGCCAAAGCACAGCCCCTTGGCACAGCCACCATCCTTACTGACTTCCAGTACTTGCCTAGAAAAAAAAATGCATCATACTTTTAATAAGAATTTTAGAGTAGTATTAACCAGAATACTTGTATAGGTCCAACTCAGAGCAGTTATTAAGTTAAAATTCTCTATGTTATACACAGTTGTAATTTGGTTTCTTAAAAGTTATGATTAAGTCTTTTTCTCAATATAAAAATGCCAAGTTGTGAAATGCTCATAGTCCCAAGCCTGAGTCTCTCCCTTGCTTACAGGGTAATAAAGTGAGGAATAATCTGTGGTCTAATGAACCCCCTATCAGACTGACAGCTGTCTCTCCAATTAAGTAAGCAAACTCTGGGCTTCATGCCCTCTGGGAAACCCTCAAGAGACTAGGGGGTAGAAGTCTCATGGAGAAACTGAATGAAATAGTAATGTTAAAAATTGCTACTTTGAGCTATTACCTTTTTATAAAAAATGAGGTTAGAATATTAAAGAAAAAGAAAAGCCCAGAAATGCCAGCATGAATTGAATGGCAACTTTGCCAGAACAATCAAGTTTGTTAGTCCTGGATGTTCTTTCTTTCTCAACCCCAGGGTGTGTACAAGAACAATAATTGATTTAAAACTTTAATATATGCATTGGCTGATGTTGGCACTCTTCCATATGTCAGACGGAAGTTTCATTTTTTTTTTTTGAGACAGAGAAGGGGAATGAGAGGAAAAGAAGAGGTCATTTCATGAGAACATGCCAGCAGAATAAATATGAAAAAGCAAGTCAATGGCCTTCTTGCAGCCCAAAGCTATTTTTTGGTCAAGTATTGAGTAGTCCCAAATCAAAGCAGGAGAATCCTACTAGATGATGACATGACTTACCAGATTAAAATGATCTCTGCAGCCTGACCAGGAAGGCAGGAATTTGGCATGGATTGGGAAGGAAGATAACTGGGTTCTGGAGCAAGCTCTGCCACTGACTGTGCTATAATACTGGCAAGACTCAATGGCATTTCATTTCTTATTCTCAAAATGGGAACGGTCTAAAATCACTTCCAGCTCCAACTAACATTTTGCGATCGACCTCTCCTTATCTTACTGCTTCATAAAGGTATAGATATCACATTAGGGGAGGAGACTCGGTCTCCCCATCCACTTCCAATACCAACAGAACCTTCTGACATAGTTGTCTACTACAACTTTATTTGCTGTGATCACTTATTCTGACCAAAGTCCGAGAATCATAAAGCTTTCAATTTGGACCAAATGATAGCAATTCTAATTGTGAATGAGCCCACAGCCTAACATTTTTTGAAAGCTACAACTGTGCCAGATATTGGGGACATAAAGATACTTTCCTCATACCAAGAAATTCATGGTCTAAAATGGTAATATTGTATGGAAAAAGTCCATGCGATTCTTTAAACTTTTTTTTTTTTTTTAATGATAGTCACACACAGAGAGAGAGAGGCAGAGACACAGGCAGAGGGAGAAGCAGGCTCCATGCACCGGGAGCCCGACGTGGGATTCTATCCCGGGTCTCCAGGATCGCGCCCTGGGCCAAAGGCAGGCGCTAAACCGCTGCGCCACCCAGGGATCCCAGTCCATGCGATTCTGAAAGCAAATAAATAGAACATAGACTTATGATGATGAGAAAGTAAGAGAAGAGTTACCAGAAAAAATAGTACTTGGCCAAGTATTTGAAAGACCATCAGAAGTTAGTCAACTTGAAATACAGAGAGGGAGGTGGTGCGGGGTACAAAGTCCACTGCTAGGAACAACTAGAATGTTTGGAAAAGTCTTGTGTGTGATGAATGAGACTGTTGTGACAGACGTAGGCTAATTACCACACAATCTTGAATAACATGTGCATGATCTTGGACTTCAACCTGTAGGTGAAAGGGGGCCATTTTAAGCAGAAGAGGCAAGGAATCAGGTTTAAGTTTTTAAAAGATCCCATTTAATAGATCATGGACAATGAATTGGAAGGATGATGAGAGTGGTAGCAAGAAAACCAATGTCACATCTTGGCAAAAATCCAGGTGGGAAATGATGATGTCTAAAACTAAAAGGAAGTGACAGAACAGTAATGAGAAGCTGGACTAAAGAGAGGTTTAGGAAGTAGGCAATGAGAATGTGTCTTGGGTTATGCTATAGTGTATCCTTAATCTCTCAACTTTGAAAGATGACCCTGAATTGACAATTCTATTCCATAACCCTAACTTTTCTAGATCACAATGTCATTATAATCTTCCTTGAATTGGAAATACCATATACCATCTATAAGTGCATTAAGTTGTGTTTCACAAAATACTATTAACCATTATTTTAGCTCATAATATTCAGAAAATTGGTGATGCTGAATGACATCCTTTTCTTTTTCTCTAGAGTGACTGATACAGGGTCTTTAACAAACAAACAACAGGTGGTTGGTGGTTTATGGGTTAAATTATGTTTTATACAATCTAGGAAAGAGAAACCAGCATTACTAAACTCCTAATATGTGCCAAGGACTGTTAGGTGTTTTCACATTCATAATTTATAAATCAATTTAATCCTCATGATAATTATGTAGGCAATATCGGGTAATCTTTCTAAAGTCACATGGCTAGGAAGCAAAAATGTGAAATATTCATCTGGGACTGACTCCAAAATATCTCTTATTCTGTATTCTGTTGTCCTCCTATATTTAGTTCTCCTCTACCTTCTTCCTACTACACATTAAAATATGAAAACAGACTCAACATATAAACATCCCAACTTAAAAGAATTATGTACGTTGCAAAAGAGTTATATATTCTTTGCTTTACTAAAGAAATCATATATGGTAATAACAGGTTACCTTTGTTCCTCAGATATGTGATTCAGCTGATCAACCTTTTATTGACTCTATGGTATGATATATTGCACCAAGGGAGACAACTATGTTGAGACTAGCTCTTTTACTCTTCACTTCTTATAACCTTATACTATTGCAAGTACCTGCTTACCAGGTAAGACACTGACAAAGCTATCATAAAACAGGAGACAAGTGCTCAGTGAAGAGCATGAGAAAGAAGTCCATTAAAGATGGAGCCCTGAACCAGAGGTCAAGATTTCCAGATTGGAGACTACACACTAAATCCAGAGAAGTCATTTGGATCACTCTGGGGCATAATCTCCACATTTATAACATGATAGTGGTGGGTTTGATGGCAATGAAAGGGTTATCCCTGCTGTAATTCCCAATGATTGTGATTTTTCTGATCTCATGTTATATAACACTCTTAGATGTTATAATGAATTTGTTATGGAAGAGAATCTTATCTTTCTGTGAGTTTGTAAACCCTAGAGGAGGTCAGTAAACACTTACTCTTAGATAATATGACACATCTAGAATAACCAAGTGCTTTAATTTTTAAGCACTGTACTTTTTCCTTAAGAAAGGAATTCTTGACCATAGACAAAACAAACATCTTTACTCCCCAAACACAATCAGGACAGAAGGTGTGAATTATTAATAATGATTTTCAGTGGAATGACTGATAATGATCCTTCAACATTTAGCCTTTATGTATGTGAGTAGTAAGAAAGATTTTAAGTAGCTAAGACCTTTTTGAATAAAATTTAATGTGTATAAAAGATCCTGCTAAGTTAAGATTAAATGTTAGAAGTTTGGTTTTTATCCAAATGTATGAGGTTTCTGACTCAGAAATAACCCAAAACTTTGAATTCAATATGGCCTCTGGCAAAGCCTATAAAAACAAAGGAAATACTCTACATTAATAATGCATTCATAGACTACTATCTCTATTTGTAAAGGAGAATAATTAAAATGGAAGTGGGTATAGCAGACTGTGCAATATGCAGCCAATTCAAACTCCCAATTTATGGGTTGTATTTTCACATGATGAGTAGGGCTTTTTCTTTCAGGAACATATGTGCCAGAAAATCATATCTGTTGGCATGAGAATAATATCCTTATTAGCACACAAGAGAAACAAACCAAGGTTTATTGCTAGAGTTTTCAGGAGCTATTTATAAAGTAAAATATTAGTAACAACCACCACTGGGTTGCTCTCCTAAAGCAATAAAACTGTCAAAAGAGAGAGGGTTTCCATTAAAACTGGATATGCACACTCTTTCTTTGGTCATATCCTCTATCCTTATTAGTTTTTTCCACTATGTAAATCTCTCCACTTTTCAGTACTTTATCTTTCTTTTCTTTATTTCTCTCTCTCATTCTTTCTTTCTCTCTCTCTTCTTTCCTTCCATTCTTCCTGATTATTTAGCTTTCACTATTCTGCATTTGTGTTTTGTCTGATAAAGGCAAAGGAAAGAATGAATCTAAAATAAACTTAACAGCTAATGTATGTAGACAGTCAAGAGTTAGAGAGGAAGCCACAGATGGAGTGTCACTGGGTCAAATAAGAGCCAGGAGAAGGCATCTTGCAGGTACTGTGCAATCAGATTTCAGTATAAACCACATTGTTCTTGGTAATGAGCAATTTGGAAAAAACAGATATTTGATGATATATGAAGGTCTGTGTTAAAAATAACCCATCTGCCAAAAGTCTTCCCAACCAAAGCCTTTGACATTTTGAAACCTCCTGATTCCAGAAACCTTGCCCTTACCATTCTCGGGGCTTAGAGTCAGGTCTCAGACTTGTTCTTGCCATTTGAATAATATTGTATTTTGTTTATTACATACCATGTTCTCATAGTACGAGAAGCTGGTAGTAAACCTTTTCTAATCCCCAACAACTTCAGAGATTATTAACTCCTGGGATTTACAAAATGCTTCACTTCATGGATTCTCCAGAGTTCAGAGCTTCTTATAGTTTTTTAAGAGAAAAATTTAAAGCTAAGTGGAGAACTTTAGTTGGTTCCAAAATATTGTATATATGCAAAAATAAAGATGTATTGTAAGTTGTTATCAATAGAGTGACCAGATAATTTTTCATCCAAGTCAGAGCAATTTTAAGCTTAAAATGAGGCTAAAAATAAAAAGTATATGTCACTGAAATGTTTATTTATTGGTCAACTAATTGTTTTTATCAGTGGACCTATAAAATAT